TATACATCAAATAATATGTTAGAGAAAAAAAAGAAAGGGAGGAAGAAAAGGAGAAATGTATAACAAAACATTAATGGACAAAACTAGGGGAAGAGTATATGCATGATCACTGTAATACACCCTTGTCATTTCAGAAACACTAAAAACTTGTGGGGGAACAATGTTCTGGGGGACACATAGCCTTCTAATACTAGGGAAGGGAACTTGCTTACCTGCATCACCAGGAATGCAGGTCCAGAGACAGTGGCAAAGGGTATGGTAGGCACACTGAAACTTAGGCACACAGCTGTCCAGATGCAAACCCTAATTCTACCCTCACTTGCTGTGTGACTTTGGGAATGTTTCTTAACCCATCTGAGCCTTATTTTCCTTATTTGAAAATTAGTAATAATAACAGTGTCTACCTCCTAGGGCCCTTTTGAAGATTAAGTAATTTCATAAACTAATGAAGTCAGAACAATATCTGCCACTACCAAGCAGTCTGGAAGTCTTAGATATGATTGTGAATGCTGAGTGGACCACTCTAGAAGTTTTTTTTTTTTTTTTTTTTTTTTTTTTTAAAGGACAATTTTAAACTGCCTTCTTAAAGCACAAACCAGACACACTTTACAGAGTGCTGGTATCTCAAAATTGCTGTTAGAAATGTCACTTATTACAGGGTCGCTAAGGCAGGCTTCAGGGACTACTGAAAGAAGGAACAACATATTTGACAGGGCCCCACATTTGTCCTGAAATTATGTTTGGTGGGGTTTCTTCAGTTATACAGTTAAATGCACACACATATGAGCACACATAACTTAATAACTTACTGGGTTTGTTTCCTCCCTTACCTTGGATGGCTACCAATATATTTCACCCTTTTCCTTTTGACTTGCTACATCTGAGATCCAAGTAATCAACAGGATGAAAGCTAAGTATAACCTGCGGTAGAGTGTTTCGGGCAGACTATTTTCTAGTGTTTAAACATCTGTGTGGATACACATGTGTAAATCTATTAAGATCTGAAAGGGGCTGCACCAGCATTGGGTAGAGGTGCTTAGTGGGGGAAGGAGCAGGCTCAAACATTCCGTCCACAGCTCCTGCACTATTTGAGGAGTTTCACTAAGGAGGCCTGATTGAAGCCTGGGGCAGTGGAGGTGCCAGAGGTAGGAGCCACTGGCCTGGACACGTCCCTGGACAAAGCAGTAGCCATTAATAAGCCTGGTTTTGCCTGGGTAAAGGAGATCCCACACAGTCTCCCTTTACTCTGACAGGCTGTACCAGACACTTGTATCAGGGAGCACCTGTGAGAAACACAGCCACCAGTGTGTTTGGAAACAGACTCCAAGGCCAAAGTGCACTTGGAGAAGAGGCCAAAAAACCCTGCCCCAAGAATCTCACTCAGGATCCAATCCCTGCTTCAGTGAGTAAGGATAAATTTTAAACTAAAGATTATTGGAAATGCTGAAAGAATACAATCTTACTCTATGGGAATCCCAATCCCAAACAAGGGCAGTGACCATAAGCATCACTCAAGGTCTGCAGGTGAACAGCTGGGCCCACATACCCACTTTTCTCCTGGAGCCCTAGAGCTCCTGAATGGCCCAGTTTGGGCAGAATGCAAGGAGATATTTTGGCTCCCAGTGTTTGGGGAGAAAACAGGGCACAGAGTCCCTTGGAAAACAACTCTTTATAGGAACAAATAGGTAGGAATGTATTTAGAATGCTGCCAAGAAAGCCTGAGTGGCCATTCTACTATCAGCCCACTGGGCCCCACCTGAAGATAAGCTGGAGTCTCCAGATGCAGGACACAGCTGGTTCAGAGAGGGACTATTTGCTCTCAAGAGGGCCCCAGCCTGCCCTGATCTTCTGGAAGTCCTCTTTTCCACACCAAAACCCTTCAGTCTCCAGAAAATATGCACCTCATCTTGCTACTCCCCAAAGTTAGACTTAGTAAATTTCCCAAATCTGGATTGAGAAGTTCCAATTATATAAACAAGTGGCTTGAGCTGCAAAGAGGTTTGTTTTACTATGCATTTGCTTTAACATCAACAATTACCTAAATGTGACAGAGGGTTAATAGTCCACAGGATGACTATCAGGGAAGTGGCAAAGGGAGAGAACACTCCCACACAGCTAACTAAGAAGGGTAATCTTTGCAAGCAGCTCTTCAGGGATTAGGATGGGAGGGCAGAGTAGAGCAAAGCCCTGGCATAAGGATGGCAGGTCCCCACCACCACCACAACCACAAATAAAGGCTGACCCTTGCAATTCCCAAAGGGTTTCTCACTCACACACACACACACACACACACACACACACACCACCTTATTTCTCCAAGGACTTTCCAGGTGATAAGCATAGATCTCACCAAGCCACAAGGTCTAGAAACCCCTTCCTGGTCAAAGAGCTGCTGCCTACTTCCTTAGCTAAGGTGGTTTTAATATTCAACCCTGCCATGTAATCACTATGGGTCCTGGGAGGAAGGATCCTAATGAAGTAGAAAATGCAGCAAGACCTGAGCCACTGCCTGTAGAGACTCCCCAGAATACTTCTGATGGCCCACAAACCAAACTACAACCACCTCTGAGTCAGGGTCTATCTGGAAACCTGGCAACTCAGTCACCCCCTGGGGCCAGCCTTACTGACTTCTCCCTTATGTGTCCTACACCAGTCTCCTTCCACCAGCAAGCTCCTGTTCTATGCCTATGAAAGCCAGTTACTGCATGCTCTGTACTTCCACCCAAGCAGGGGCTGTTAATGGGTTTCCCAGAGATGCCCTGCATCACAGGCAGGTGCTTAGGATGTGCAACTTTCATAATCACATTCACCTGGGGTACTAAATAAATGCAGTTCCCAGCTATGGTGTACTAAGTAGTTCAGCTTCTGCGGCTTAGAATCTGTGCTATTTCAAACTCCCGCCCTCATGAGGGGTCCAGGCGCCTGCATTCACCTATAGGTGGAGCCTCACTCTGATCTCAGCACACATGAAGTACAGAGAGGGTTCCCCCCTTTTAAGAATAGACTTTGTTGCAAGCACTCAAAGAGGGTTGCTTCTGCCAATCTTGCGTTTCCAGAAACTATAGGAAAGGGCCCTCATCCCACTGCGGGAGACGCAAGTCCCCAGCACTCCGGGCTCCATACCTCTTTCTAGCCTAGACGTCTGCTCACCCGAAGAGGGGGCGACCCTATCAGGAAACCATCCCGGGGCTGAAGCCCTTACCGCCCCGCCCACCCCTCCCTCACACCCCTCCCTCACCCTGGGCTAGTCAAAAAGCCAGCTACCTGGTGCTGCCGGGTTTTAGGCCGCGGATAAAAGAGGCTGCAGAAGGATTTCCAGGATTTCCCAATCATTAAGTTCCCCGCCCAGCACTGGCCTCATACCCCACCCCTCGGGTAGACCTTAACCACCGCCACGCCCCAAGTGTTGCTCCCATCCCTCCCTCTAGAGTCCCCTGCTTTCAGAACCTAGTTTGGCCCCTCCCCCACGGCCACACCCACCGTCGCGGCAGCGTTCCCAAGCTGAACTGAGAGCCCCGCCCCACCCCGGACCCATACACAATTAATTCTGACCCGGAATGCCTAGAAAAGGCTCCACGTTCACCCTCCACCGCAGAATCAACCACGTGGTTCGGGGAAGGCTGCAGCAAGGGGCTAGGACAGGGAGCGCAGTCTCCGAGGGGAAGTCGTTAAGAGATACACCAACCCCTACACCTGCAGATCTCGGGCCGCTCAATTCCCAGTATACCAAGAGAGAAGGGCCTCCAGCTCTAGGGTCTTGAAGGCCGCAGGGTTTTTGTTTGCTTTACTGTTTAATCAGCATGTGAACTACTTAACAAAATGCACAACCCTTGGTAACAAGGTAACGGTATTAAGTATTCAAGCAGTGAACCTGCCTCAAAAATGGAAGAGTTAAATGCCAGAGGAATTCACGTGAGTTCAGGGAAACAATCTTTAAAACAAACCGGGGGAAGGGAGTTGCTATCCATTAAATGGTTGTCTTTGTGTTACAAAGAAACGAAAAGGGGGTTAAACAAACAACAAACTTTCACAGAGGAATCTACTACAAACTATCAGGCCCGAGCGATGGGAAATACTCCCCTGGGGTAGGTGGCGGCGAGAGGCCGTTCACGGACCCCCCCAGCTGCGGGCTCTGGCCTCCAGTCCTCCGGCAGGTGCCGCGTGCCAGCCGCATCCGGCCACCAGCAGGTGAGAACTGAGCTGGGTACAAGCGGCGCAGACCGACGGACCGTGGGCAGGGCGCTCCTTTCCAGAGAAAGCGTCTCGGGGCCGAGTAACCCCCCTCCGGCCCAGCGCGCCCCCGGTAGCCGGATGGGCGGGTGCTCCCACAAAGAGCCGCGGGCGGGGAACAGCTAACCCGGACCGCCCCCCGCGTAGGCCAGTGCAGCCGCGGGCTCTGGTTACGACAAATTAAACCTTAGAACGCTGGAAAAATTACAGGAAGAGGAGAGCGAAGAATGTGCCGAGTGGCTGAAGGGAACCCTGTCCCCGCGTGAACTTCGCCCAACGCGCGCCTGGGCTGGTCCCCCTTCCCCTCCCCAGCGCGTGCCCGGTGGGCGGGGGAGGGGAGTACGAAGACCAGTAAAATACCACCCTCCCTCAGCTCCCAGACTCCCCGGCTGCCCACCCACCAGAGCGACGCCTATAGCCCCCACCCAATCCGTGCGCACCTGCCCGCGTCGCCCCCAGGCCTGGGCGGGGTCGCCGCCCCCGGCCCAGATGACGACATCCACCCCCGTGGCCGCGCCCGGGAGGGGGCGTGCCCGGCGGGGGCGCGGTCCTCGGGCCGGCGCCGGCTCCAAGAACCCGGACCGCCTCACGCGGCGCGCGAAGCCGGCCGCAGGACTGAGAGGCGAGGGAAGGGGCGAGGTCGTCCTCCGCCCGACCGTTCCCCGCGCCCAGCCCTCCCCTCGCGCCCTGCGGGCAGCTCCGGGGGCGTGGCTGGGCCGCCCGCGCCGTCCCCTGTCCGCGCGCTCTGGGCGCCCGGCCGCCCCACTGACCTGTGTGAGTTCTCAGGTGCGCCTTGAGGTGCGAAGATTTCCCATAAACTTTCTCACAACCCGCGTAGTGGCACTTGTGCTTTCTCTGCGGGGACTCGAGGTCGGCGCGACTTCGGCCCCGCCGGCCCCTTTGTCTGAGGCCGGACTCGCCGCTCCCCGCGGGTCCTGGCTCCCGCTCGGGATCTAGTCCCGCCTCGGGCTCGCTCCAAGCGGGGCTGGGGGGCGCGGCTACCGCACCTTCTCCGCCGGGGGAGACGGGTTCGGAAGCAGGCGGCGGCGCGGGTGGCGCGGGCGGTAGTCGGCAGGGGGTCCTCGCCTTCCGGGCAGCAGCGCCCTCTCTGCGCTCCGCTGGGGCGGGCGCTGGCGCTTGTTGGTTGAGGTCCGCTAGGATCCGCGCCACCACGAAGAGCGAGGCGCTGTCCTTGCCGTCGCGGCGCTCCTCAACGCGGGGCAGTGAGGGGGTGGCGGCGGCAGCCGCGCCCTCGGGCCGGGACTCCGGCCCCTCCCGCGGTCCGTGCACGACTGCGCGGCTGGACATGGACACGAGGCACTCGGCGGCGAAGTGGTCCACATAGGCGGCGGCTGCCATGCTGCGGGCTCCGGCCGGCGGGCGGGCGGCAGTGCTAGTCTCTACGAGTCGTCAGCCGCGCATCCGCACCCACGGCCTCCGGAGAGCAGGCGGGGGGCGGGGGCGCGGCGCGCCCTCTCCTCCGGCTGGGCTGGGCTAGGCTGGGCGCGCAGCCGCCTCTGCCGTCACCAGCGCGGCTCCGCGTCCGCCCGACCCGGCACCGGGGAGTGAGCGCATGGGGGGCGTGGGCGAGTAGGGTCCCAGCGCGGCGTCAGGGGCGGCCTGTCCTAAGGATGTCGAGTGGCGACGTTAGGGACGACCGCGTCAAGTCACGGGCACAGCTTCGCCGCGCATTGTGGCAGGCGGGACAGCCGCCGTGCGCGCCGCAGCTCGGTGTGGGCGGCCCGGCCTCGGGGGTGGGCGGGGCTGGGGCCACATCTGGACCAGACGTCAGCCCCCAGCCACATCCTGGCGGCGCAGGTTACAGGCGGCAGCGGCCGCAGGGAGCTGCGCGCGCGGAGGGGGCGGGGAGCCTGGGGCGCGCACCGGCGGGGCAGAGCGGTCGCGCGCTCGCGTCTGGGGAGGGGGCGTGGCCTAAGGCAGGGCTGGACGCCATTGGCTGAAGAGTACCGGGTCAGGCCAATCCGGGCTTCTAGAGGGGCTTACTCGGCAGCAGGCCCTGCGCGCGCCAATGCGCGTGCCTCCTTGTCCGGCGGGAGGAGGGGCGGAAATTAGAGCCGGGTGAGGGGCACGCTGACGCACGACGTTCGAGGATGGCGGGTCTGGGTGTAACCGCGCGGGGCCGCTGTCTGTACCCGCCTCAGCGGGGAACCCGGCCGGCTTTTCCCTGCCAGAGCTTTTGTGCGATGACAACCTTAAGCCCCGCGGTAGAGGAGAGCGCTCTGGAGCACACCCCTTTGTCCCTCCAGTCCTTCCCGTGAGGGGCGCTGGCAAGGAGGCGTGTCCGTTGAGGCCGGGCGCTGAGCTGCCGCCCTCGCCTAGGGGCGGAACTCCGTCGCGCTGCACCCCACTGCTGCCGGTTTCCCAGGTAGCCGCGCCTAGAACTTCAGGCCGCTGGCCACCTCCTCGCTCTTTCTCTGTTACACTTCAGCGCAGCACTGGCCAGAGCAAGGACACGAATAGAACTGGACTTTTCACACGGGAGGGCCAGGCGTTCCCTCGACTCATTCCGGGAGCCGGGGACACAGGGTGCCGCCCTGCTGCCTTTCAGCCCGGCTCAGCTGGATCAGGACTGGCTCTGGTCTGGTGATTAATCTGGCCTCCAAGTGATGTGCCCACCGTGGCCTGTGCTTATAGGAGTGAACTACGTGCCTGGGCAGCGGGTGCTGCTGTACAGGGAACGTGGGGCCCCTTCCTCCCCCTTCCGTCCCAGGCCCGCTGCCAACTTCTCTAGGCTGCCCCTCTCCCACCGCGGTCGGGAAGGCTTCAAAAGCCACCAGCTGAGAGGACCCCGCCCACCCTACCCCACCCTTCCACTGGGCCGCCTGAAGGAAATGCTGGGCTTCGCCCCTCTGGCGGCGTCCCTGCGGGGTCTGGACCAACTTGCCCTTGACTTCCATCGCAGGCGCTCCCCACCCCCAAACTCCAAGTCTTGGGCCATCAGCGAAGAGACTGGTGCATAACTTCCTGCCTTGGGAACGACTTTAATACACCCCTTACAGCTTCGCCCTCACCAGACTCTCCGCGGCAGCTCCTGGTCCCTAACCTGGAAGCATTGAACTCAAAAGTCTGCAACCACTCGTTTGTTGGGCTAAATGGCCTTGGAACAAGTCAGACACCAGAGCTGAATTTCAACAGAAGTCGGGAAAGTGAGGACCACTCAGGCATTTGACCCCAGTGGACCAGAGTAGAGAGGCTGGGAATTAAGGGCGATGGCAAGGTTAGTTTTCCCAGAGTTAATTTGGAGCATACGTAGGAAAGACCTCAATTTCCAGGTAGCCAAGGGGGAAACTAAGCCATTCTGGTTTACATGTTGTGGTGAACTGTAAATTTGTGTCAACATTTGAGTATTTGGGTATCTGTAACAAAACCCTGAAATTCCCTCTCACTGACTTGAGTTCTGCCCTCTGGGGAGACTACAAAGCTTGTTAAGCTGGCTCAAGTCCCTGGAGGAGGGTCTCTGTTTGGCAGAAAGTAGTCATCTTCCTACCAGGCAGATTGTGTTGATGACATTTAAGAGATTTGTTTCCTGACCAAGTAATGATTCAGAATGTTCCTCTATTTTCACCACATGTCTCAGTCACTTCTTCATTAGGAAGGAGCCTAATGAAGCCACACTTCCCTTCCCTGTCCCTCTCCAGTCAGTGGAATTTTGCCCAGTCTTTCAAGTGCTATCTACAGGGATACAGAAGAACTTGTAGTTGTTGGGCTATTATACTCTAGGCTACTATTGCCTTAAATGAAGGGAGAGGGTCATGGCCTGAGTTAAAGGATCTCTGTTATGACTGCCCCCAACCAAAGGTTTTCCATAGGTGTGTCTTCCCAGAGAGTCTCAGCTGTGCCTGGTGTCATTCTAGATATAAATCTCAGTCCCTTGCTTTCTCAGTCCAATCAATCATCAGGCCTGTTGGAGCCTCAGGCCTGGTCTCCTTTGTCCTAAACCCATGTGGAACTGTCTTCAAGATGGGTCCAGTTATGTTCCCTGGAGAACAACTCACTATAGCAGTGGGTTCATAGTTTCCTTTCTAGGTAGGATTTTGACAGAAACAGCAGAAGCAGAGCAGCCAAGATAAGTAGATCAAGATGTGTTTGAACAGTGAAGAATCTTAAGACTGTCAGAATCAAATAAGACCAAGGAGAAACACCTAAATGTTCTGATATCTGCAGTTGCCAAAGTAAACAGCTTGCTATCTCTATAGGGATGGCCACAGTAAATGGTGCTGCTCTTGTGCATAAAACTTCTAATCAGTCTCAGGCCTTCCCAGGCAAATCTGAGCAGGCAGGCAGAGCTGACCTGGTATCTCAGGAAAGCCTGGGTCATGAAATACAAAGCCACAATAGATTTTATAAAAGCAAGATGGAAAAAACCAATCATGCAGAGAAAGTATACATTCATGAAACTATCAATAATGTCACTTAGGAAAATTCAAAAGATATTACAACACATTAAGGGAGAACATATGAAGAAAAAAGAGTCCCTGGAAACTTAAAAGATGTTTTCAATATAAGGATTAGAAGGGAAAGTTGAAGAAAACTCCATGACCAAAACGAAAAGAAGCAACACACACACACACACACACACACAAAAGGAAAATAAAGAAAAATTAAAAAAAAAAAATTAGCCAACCAGAAAGTTTATTGATTAAATAACAGGGCCCCAACAGAGTGACCAGAGAAAGTCATCAATGAATTAATCCTAGAAAAGTTTTTATGACCAAAGAACATGTGTTGAAAGGGCCCACAGAAGGTCCAGCACCAGGGCTGGGGGTATAGTTCAGTTGGTAGAGTGCTTGCCTTGCAAATACAAGGTCCTGGGATCAATCCCCAGCACCACAAAGGAAAAAAAAAAGAGGTCCAGCACCATATCACTGTTTCAGAATACAGGGTACAAAAATGTCTTCACATTACCAGCAGGTTACATACAAACAAGATGGATCAGAATCCTGCTGTAGGCTTGTGAATAACAAGTAGAAGTTAGAAATCAAGGAAATAAATCCTTGAGAAATGGAAAATTATTTTCCAACCATCACTCATCCAAACTACAAACTAAGTACAGTGATGAGTCACTTAACAAGGGCATACTCTGAGAAAAGCATCATTAGGCAGTTTCATCTTTGTGTGATCACAAAGTGAGCTAAACAAACCTGGTTGGTTTAGGTCAATCACTCCCTGTGGCCCATTGATGCATTGAAGAAACATGGTCAACATATCAATGAGTTTGCTGCCAGTGTAGCTCTGGCATTTGCAATGCTTTTGATAAGTTTGGTCCCCAATCCATGGTGATACTGGGAAGTGGTGGACTCTTAAAGAGGTAGAGACTGATAGGAGGTCTTAGGTGATTTGAGATGTGCCCTTAAAGGAAATATGGGACTCTCACCCTTTCTCTTCCTCTTACTTTGCTTCTCTCCTCTACTTCATGCTCCCACCATGATGTATGGTGCCACCACTGACCCAAAGCAACAGGACCAATTAGTCTTGAACTGAAACCTCCAAAACTGTAAGTCAAAATAAATCTTTCCTCCTTTTAAATTGATTTTCTTGGGTATTTTTTAATAGTAACAAAGCTGACTTAACACATTATTTTTACAATAAACTTTTTGTAACCAAGAGAATTCTAAAATAATGATCAAAATATATAGTGAAAGCCTAAACCAGTAACATAATCACTTATTAAAACTACTATGTATGGGGCTGGGGATAAAGCTCAGTTGGTGGGGTGCTTGCCTTGCATGCACAAGGCCCTGGGTTCAATCCCCAACACCACCCCCCACCACACACACAAAAAAAATAACTATTGTGTGTGAAATTTTATGTTCTATGCTTTTATATGAATGGCAGTATGCTAGGTTTGTTTACACTACCATCATCACATATACACAGCTAATGCATTTATATTATCATGTTATAATAGCTACCATGTCATAGGTGATAGGAATTTGTTTGCTCCTTTGTAACTATATTGGATCACCATCATATATGTAGTCTGTCATTGACCTGAAACATCATTATGCAGTGTGACTGTATTTTTAGATACATGAGATCTCAAAAAAATTTCCCTCCCATGCATTGTTTCTCTTGGTAGGAAGCTATCAGAGATTATGGTTCACCAAAATGAAGTAAAACAAGAGAGATGGGGAGTGGGGGACATGTAATTGAGAAAGCAGTGCATTCAACACAGGGCTAAGGGCAGAGGAAATCCTTGTAAGAGCTGCCTTTGCAGGTGCAGAGCATCAGCAACCCAGGCTAGGGCAGTTCAGCTTTTGAGAAGCTTCTGCAAGAGGTGATAAAGGCCATATAAAAGCTGGCCTAATCAGTGAATTTCAAAAGGCTTATTTCTGGCCATGTGACATGTTCATAGTGAGATACTTGGGAATACCAGGTAGATAGAGCAGTCTGTCTACAATGGGCCAGCTACCATGGCAGAGGGAGAGGGAAAGTATCCACCCAGAGGTGTTACTCATACCATCTTTCCCGCATACACAACATATTCTCCCCTTCCTAGGTGGGCCTGATCCAATATCATATGCCTTTTTAATCTGGATCTGGAGGCCAGAGACAGGATAATGAGGATTCAAGACAAGGGTCATCAGTGTCCAGCTCAAAGTACAGACCTGTGTGGAAGGCTTATTAGTTTCTTTAGGTGGTTTCTTTTGTCTAGAGATATATGACATAGAGATAATTTTTGCCCCCTCCCCCATCACTATGAATTAGATGTGGTTTTTCCACAAAAGTTTATGTGCTGGAGATTTGGTCAACAATGTGATGGTTTTAAGAGGTAGTGGAACCTTTAAGAGGTGGGGCCTAGTGGAAAGTGGTTAGGTCACTGGGGTACCAACCTCAGAAGGGATTAATGCTGGTCTCTCACAATAAGTTAATTCTCAGGATAATGGGTTGTTATAAAAAGGAAATCTTACCCTTGGATGGTTCTCCTATCTCACCATGTGCTCTCTTATGTACACACTTCTACCATGATCTTATCTGCTATACTGTGATGGGGTCACCTGATCTTGGACTTTAAAACTTTGGATGAAATAAACCTCTTTTCTTCATGAAGTACCCAACATCAGCTGTTTTGTTATAACAATAAAAAGTGAACAAATACACTTTCCCCATACACATACCCAATGCACAGTGGGCAAAGAGACACAATCACAAAAAAATAAAAAATTTTAAAAAAAAGCCCAATTCAGAAAATGGAGGAAAGGGAGACATGCAGCAGACAGTATCCACAACAATCTTGAAATCTTGCTGTATAGATATTGCCTCCTACCCTGAAACAAGAATGTTCCTAGAATAGTGTCAATCCTACTTTGGGGAAGCACAGCCAGTCCATTGTTCTTAGGCCCCTCACTCCATCCTCAGGAGGTTCTTCCTTTGCCAGTATCCTTAACTGCACATTGGGGAATATGCCCCTTTGGGAGCTGAGCAGTTCTCTCAGCCCACTTTTGGAATGTATTAGGTTAGAGACTAGGGTTGATTTAATTGTTAGCCACAGACTGTATTAATTTGGTTCCTGATTTTTTGGCACAACTATAGTTTCTCAAAATTCTAGTTAATCCCTTACCTGGTCTGTTTAATTTCTCTTAGCCGTATTGTTAATAGCTACTCTCAGTACTTTTCAAGACATGGTTCCTTCTCAACTTAATTGCAGGTATTCTGAGTTTCTCAGTCTTTGATGATAGAATAACACCTTTAGTGTCTTTTCTCTGAACATTTCCAGCTATCCCAGATAGCAATTTATCAAATATTATACCATTCAATAAGAGGGTGACCATGCGTCCAAAAATCTGTTTTTTCACTGATCAGCATTCAAGCCAGTGCCACTTTTGTAGCACCACTCCATTCTTGGTTGCCATTCTTTGTATCAGTCAGGATTAGCTACGTTATGCAACAGTTACAAATAGTTCCAGAAGTTTTGATATTGCTTATCATATCAAAATTTAATTTTTAGTCTATTAAGGATGCTTGGGACTCTGCTCTGTGTCATTTCCCTCACCTTAGTACCCAGATTAACAAAGCACTATTCTCAGGAAAACTGACAATATGGCAGAAGAGAAAAGGACTTTCTAGATGGTCTTGTGTTGGCCATTAAATGCTTGGCCTAGAAATGACACACATCTCTTTTGCTCATAACTGGTCACATGGACTATCTGCTATAGACAATATTTGTGTTCCCCAAAGTTCATATGTTGAAATCCTAATGCCCAAATGTTGTGATATTTGCAGGTGGACTCTTTGGAAGGGTAAGTAGATCATGAGAGTGGAGCCTTCTTGAATGAAATTAGTGTACTTCAAAAGAGACTTCAGAGACCTCCTTTGCCCCTTCCATCATATGAAGTTATAATAAGAATACAGCCATCTATGAACCATGATGCCTAGGCTTGATCATGTACCTACCAGCCTGAGGAACTGAGAAGCAAATTGTTAATACCACCCAGTCTATGGTATTTGTAATACCAACCCCAAACAGACTAAGACACCTTCCCACTCATAGGAAGCCAGCAGGCTGTCTCTGGAAGACCAGGAGCTAAGCTATTGAGGGAAGCATCAATCTGATCTGAATTGAGAAAACTGGCAGAGTTTGGGATTCAAATAATAAGTAGGTAAAAAACTAAATTAACAGAAAAGCAAGAGCTTCAAAGAAACAAAAGGAATGTCCACTATAGTTGCCTGCTTGGCTCAGTTGCAGATAATGTTTTCATAGTGGTAATGATCAATACTGAACCCTGACCAAATCAACTTTTTCACATCATTCTCATGGAGGAATGGGACACTCTGGGTGGGCACAAGGGAGGGAGTGGGAGGAAAAGAAGTCCACATTTGTATAAAGAGATGTCAGTAGACAGCCCCCGCAAATTGGAAAAATTAGAAGTAGTGATGCTATGGTGAGCAGAATTCTAAGATTCCCCAACATTCTGCCCCTAGTCTATACATATCCACTCCCAGTTAGTCAACTAATACCCTAGGTGTTTTTGTAAGGGATTTTGTGATGTGATTATGCTCTCTAATCAGCTGACATTAAGATAGGGTGATCATCTCAGTGCATCTGAGCTGATCACATTATTCCTTTTAGTTTGAGTCCAGAGAGACAAGGAGGTTAGAGAAATTGGAAGCATGACAGATATTTGAACTGAGAAAGATGCTCCATTGCTGACTTTGACAAAAAGAATGTCCACTATAGTGGACACTGGAGGGGATGACATGGCAATGGAGGGGGTGACATGGCAAGGAATGCAGGCAGGAAATAAGAGTAGTCCCTGACTGACAACCAACTAGAAATGGGGACCTCAGCCTACAACCACAAAAAATAGACTGTTACCACAGCTGAATGAGTTTGTAAAAGGACCCCAAGCTCCAGATGGGAACCACAGCCCAGGCAACTTGATTTTAGTCTCATGGGGTCCTGAACAGAAAAGAACAGTATCATGCCCAGACTTTTAACTTACAGACCATAAAATAATAAAGATTATTATCTTAAGCCCCTAAGCTTGTGGTCATTTGTTATCCAACAATGGAAAAATAATACACATACTGTATGAGTCCCAGAAACAGTCTGGTAAAAGAGACAATGCCATTTGTATGTACTGTTGGCCCCCAGTATCCATTCATTCCACAACCAAATATTCAGTCCACCCATAGATCAAAACTATTTGAACAAAAATTACATTTGTATTGAACATATAGACTTCTTAAGCATTATTCCCTAAACAATACAGTATACCAACTATTTATGTGGCATTTATATTACATTAGGTATTATAAATAATCTAAAGATGATTTCAAGTATCTAGGATGTGCATAGATTATAGCAAATACTACTCCATCTTATGTAAGGACTTGAGGATCCTTGGACTTTGGATCCATCCACTGGGGGTTCTGGAACCAATCCCCTATGGGAATGACTGTATAACTTTGATGTAAGGAAAAACTGAGATCAAAACTATCAGAGATTATTAGTTGCCCATTGAGATCCATCTCCTCTGTCAACAGCAGTAATTGACAAGGCTTCCCAGGAACATTTGCAGTTAGGTGTGACCCAGCGACCAACTTCTAAACATTTGCAAATGATCAGAGGAGCATCCCAATACCTCTGCATTAGGATTTTGAAGAGGTTGAGCCTTTGTATTATCAGCTTATCATTACTATGTCAGATACTTGAAATAATCAACTTATAAAAATAAAAGTCATTTTGCACACGGTTTTGGGGGTCCCAGTGATACCATTCCTTTGAATCTGTGTCAAGGTAGTACATCATAGCAGAAGCACAGAGGAAAACCATTTATCTCTTGGCAAGGAAGCAAAAGAGAGAGAGAAAAGGGCTGGGTTCCACAACCCTTCACCCGTGACCTCCCACTAGGCTTCATCTCTTAAAGTTCCTATCCCCTCTCAATACCACCACCCTGGGGATTTTAGGGGACATTCAAGATCCAAACTATTAGCAGTCCCCATATTTCATCTTCTTCTCTGTTAGCTGGAAGTTTATGACCACATAGCTTT